GAGGTTTTCACGTGAGACGAGTGTTTAAGCACTGCTCCTAGATATTTTACGGGTTTGTGGATGTGAACCAAGGGACTGGTGAATTTGGTATTGTGATAGTTGGAGGGTGAGTTATTCTGGAAAATGAAGCTTATGAGTTGCCTTATAAGTTTAGAAGGTTTTTAAGTGAGGCAGCCGGAGTATTTGTCACTGTCGTCTTATATTTCGCTTTTGTCTAATAAGATTCAAGATGCTGGGCGGAATGGGACTTGGTGGAGAACTCTCTGGTGGTTCTGATTGGAAGTAGCCTTCGTCTCTCTCAGCTACTTCCACTCTCGGCAACTAGCCTTCCAAGCCTGATTTTTCGAGCGGAATATGAAACTAGGTACAATGTTTTTGTCGAACGAATTTCGAGCTATATATTTTCATGTTTAGTGTTTTAAATTACGCTCGAAATAAATTAATTTATAAGTCAGCCACAAGTAAAAGCGGATACTCTTAGGGCATACACAGTAGTTAGTTTAGTACTAATGCCAAAAGTCAAATTTTTGACATTAGTACTAAAAGTGAGACAATGCACAAATGATCAGGTGGTTGCAACAGAGAAAACAAAAAAACTTCGTTTGACCGCATCTACTACTACAGACCTAACGGGGACATACAATATAATTAAGTGATTTGTAAAATAGGATTATAATAAAATAAAAATCAGAAAAGCTGACCAAAAATAATGTTGGCACATGTGTTAAAAGTGAATTTGAATTGTTCACAGGATTGCGTTACTCGGCCAATCGGCTTCGTGTTGCAAACTTTCCTACTCGCAAAATAAAATGCCGTATCATAAATATATATTTTTGTTTTGATTCACCGTTTGTAGGTTATTTTCCATTCGGTTATTCGGTTATAACCGTTTTTAAATTCAATAACTGGGCTAGTTTTGAAAAATTAGGTAATCTGGCAAAGAAATTAGTATTTAGTGCTTGGTTGTTTTTCGTCTTAGTGGTAAAATTTTAAATACCGTGCTAGATACCAATAGCTATGAAATATATGTAAACGGATGAGTTTAGTTTACTTAAAATGTTATGACATTTCGACCTTAAAACTTACGCTCTGTTGACTTTAGTTTGATTGAATTTAGATTCACCTTTAGATTGCTTTTGAAATATGACATATTGCGAGGTCCCTTGTTTTATACAGTTAATTAAAGTTATAATTACACAATAATCACGAATGAATATTTATATTTTCGTTTTTATTTGACGATGTTTCGTGAGCCTGGGTTTACTGTCGTCATCTAGTGAGCGTGATTATTTGATAATAACCTATGGATTAAAATTGGGTTCAGATGTCCTGGTACGTATGCTGTATCTTGTACTCCATCATAAACCACATATTATATTGTTTTTGTTATACAGATGTATATTTTGTTACACAGATTTATGTTTCTTCTTTTCAATTTTCCAGCTAATTTTAGTCGCGTATGTATAATATCGCAATAGCGTGGTAAGGATCATAGAAACGGGCATCGCGTAAATAATAGGCAAGTAAATCCTCTAACTTTTATGAATACTAGATACTCTGCTTTCCAAAACGGAGATCCAACTACTGCAATAAATCGTTCGCGAATTCTCTGGTATAATCACCCCGCCAATCGTGTTGAAATTATTCTTAAGAAAAATTCTATTTTTTTAATTTCAACGTTAAATGTCAGATAAAGAGTTGTTTGGTAAATATTTGTTATAGGAAGGACTATTCGTTTGTAATGATTTGCAAAATGTGTTTCTTATGTAGGCGGAGGAACCTTGCCATAAAATTAAAATTCTCCATATAAATAAAAATATTAAAATATATCAATAAAATAATATATAAATTAAATATAACTAAATTAGTGACTAAC